CCCCAAAACCCCAAAACCCCAAAACCCCAAAACCCCTAATAATCATTAAGTTTAGAAAAACTGTCTAATTATTGGCAATAATTGGGTTCTTGGCTAAATCCCAAAGGTGAGACTAGTTCTTATACATCTTGAGCCTATCAATAGTCTTCTTGCTCTTATACAGTTCCTTTGGCTGTTTAGAGGTATATTTATACCTATAGCTCTTCACTGACTTCTTGGTGCTACTCTCTATTGCATAATGGTGAAAATTAAATATATCTTAGAAATAAACTGTGTTATAGATTTACTACTGATAAACTCTCTCTGTTGTCAAGCTTACTTGAGTATTTATTAGGATAAATCTTATCACTATTCGCATAATATTTACCATGTTTATATTTCTGTAGAGTTGGCAATTTAATGGAGTTTATACTGTTCTGGTGCCCTTTTATAATCTTGTCCTTCTCTTTGTATATACCATCTCCTATTTTAGGCAACTTCATATCAAGAGAATTTCCTTTGACCCCTCTTCTAGCAGAGGTAGAGCCTACTTGTTCTCCAACAACTCCAAGGCTGAGGATGATCTTATTACTCTCATCTTCGTACCTGTTCTGTGAGTTATGAGGGGGTCTCTGATACTTTGGTTGACTCTTATTACTGTAGAGAGGCCTTTGTCTTGGATAATTTGGTTGCTTCTGCACTGAGCCATGCTTAATCTTATTTCTCTCAATCGCGATTCGTTTCGAGATCTATCAGTGATCAGCTTAACTTACCTTAGCGGATTCCTTCTCGTACTCGTTGTTCTTCTTATTAAGTATTTTCTGAAGATTGTTATACTCCTTATCGATGTTCATGACTGGTTTATTTCTTTGTCTCCATTTCAAGTCTGTTCGCGATTCTCTCAATACTGGTCAATTTGGGAGGAGTCTTATTGTAAGAAGGCTTGATTACGCTAGGGAGTTGGTCTATCTTCCCGCTCTTCTTCTTTTCAGATTGTAGGATCTTCTTGATCCTAACAGGAGGCATCTTACTCTCTTCAGCAGTATCAGAGATATTGGATTTCTTACTCAGGAGATCTTTCGCCTTTGATTTCTTGTACTTATAGCTCTCATGGTTGGTTGAACTTTCCTTCCCACCTATATCATTTGGCGATTCAGATGTTGCCCTGGTTCTTAATGACAACTTATGGGTTTCTACCATCTTCTCCAAATCATTCTCATAGGAAGGTTTGGGTAACTTATCAGTCAGGTAGAGAATATTCTGCCCATTTTTAGGAAAATAAATGGTCTTTAATAAACTGTTCTTTAAAGTTTCAGTCTCAGTTTCTTCATCTTCATTTTCATCTGGGAAAATTTCCTTAATCTTTTTCTTCACGACTGGATGGCAGAGGATATCGTTTCAATTAGGCCTCTTCTTCGAGGAAACCTGCAAAAGCATTTTAACTATACCTTGGATTTCAGAGGAGTATTGTTTCGAAATTTTTGGATAATGCCCTCGGAGTACTTTCTTATAAAGCCCTTGCATGTTCTCAGCCCTGAATGGAGGCTTGAGAGTTATCATCTCGTAAAGCACTCAGCCAAGCGACCAGATGTCGCTCTTGATGTCATATGCTTCGTCCCTCCAAACTTCTGGGCTTGCGTAATAGGGAGTTCCTGTTTGGGTATAACTGAGGCCTTTCTCAGCAACTTTACTTACATTCATGTCACCTAATTTGCCAGTATCATCTTTATTCAGAAACACATTTGCACTCTTCAAGTCTCGATGCATTATATCAAGATCATGGAGTGCCTTCAGTCCTCTGACAACCATTATAAAGATTTTCCAAATATAATTCTCCTTAAACCAACTGTCATTTTGTTGATGGTTCATGATTTTCTGAAACAAATCACCGTCATCAGCATACTCCATTATAATTCACAAGGCTTGAGATTCCTCATCAATAAAAGCTTCTTTGTACGATACTATATTTATATTCTTAATAGATGCCAGAATTCTGACTTCATTCAGAGCATTCTCCTTTTCTTTTGTAGAGAGGTTCATCATGCGTACCTTCTTCAAGGCATAAATTTTTCCATCAGAAATCCTCTTGACCTTGTATACACTAGAATAGGCTCCTTCTCCAAGACGGGTGAGGACGTCAAAATCCTCCAATTTTGATGCCATTTTGCTTAAAATTATATAACCCCTTACTTTCCCTTCAGCGGGGTTTTGGGGTTTTGGGGTTTTGGGGTTTTGGGG